GACAGACGAGATAGCGTGGAGGGTGTGATTGTGGACGGGCTGGGTGGTCCGGACGTAGGAGGCGAAGGCGGAATAAAGTTGGGATCAATAAGGTCTTCCTGAGTGATACGGAGGGGAGAGACTGGAACAAGCTTTGGGCGAAACACTTTCTCTTCTACAGCGTCCTCTTTCCGGAAGGGATCGCTGTCGAAAAGGGTGTCTGTTACTTGGTCGATGGAGAGCGCCTGTACCGATGCCCTCCTGTAGTCGAGTACCAGTCGCTCGGCAGGAGACGCAAGAGCAGTGTCGAGTATAGGCTCTTCGACTGTCTCAGGTTCCTGGTCGTCGACAGCAGTGTTAGTCGTGCAGTCGCTGTCTGATTGCAAATAAGGATTGACTGGGCCTGAGTCGGTGGGTGTAGAATGCGGAGCAAGATTTTTGACGATGGAAAGAGAAATATGAGGTCGTAATAACAACGGAAATATGTGCACTGCAGGCATCGATTAGGGATTGGATTTATTACGGTCAGAAGAACTCACATTCGAATGGTGAGCTAGGACTACGGGCACCGGCGGTGACGGGAGCAGAATAGAGAGCCGCGGCAGCTGTGCGCTCCTCGGGATCGATGTCGACGAGGTCGTCGTCGCAAAACGACAGGCGTTCAGCGTCCTCGTCGCTCGCGACAGAAGTCTCGTCCGAGTTCTGTCGGTGGAGATGTCGGGCGGGGAACGTGAGGAACTTTGTCGAGACACGTAACGAGGCGCGGAGGCCCGGGGCGACCCTTGGCTGGTAGTGGGAGGTCGGAAACATAGTATACAAATACAAGCGAAGCACAGGACGACAAACCTCTGAGGAGGACGAGGGAGGGACGCAGGCACATCGCTAAAGAATGCGTGCGTGCGTGCCTAAAGCGTGTTCGGCGTGCTGCCTGGAGGAAGCGCGATGCGCTGTCACAAGACAAAGCTCAGTTCCACAGAGAAACGCAATGTCCGCGAGCCTTACCTGATGACTCCAGAGACCCTGCAGCCTGGAGTAGGCGTTGCACCCCGAGCTTGAGGATATTCGAGAGCAATAACCGCTCACCGGCGCTCAGCCCATTTCTATGAGACTGGCGCTCTCACGGATCCTGAGCTTGAAGTGCATCTGCAACGAGGCCTCCATCGTCGGTTGCCCCATGGGTCAGCCCTGCGCTGTTCGACGGATCTGTGGTCGCTCTTTCTGCATCCTGACGCGACTTGGCGCGTCGCAGTTCCGGGTGAGGCCTAGAAACGGATCCAAGTAAACAAGGCATAACACTCGTTCCGTTTCCTTCAGGGGCGCTGAGCGGTCATGACGGGTCCCAAAGCGTACCGCTGCGCAAGACGACGGACCAGAATGCGGTCTTCAGTGGGTCCCTCGTGAAGTGGCCCAAGAGGCCGCGATGAACGGCGATCGTGCTGCCTACCGCAACGTCTATATCTACGACGCCTCGGACAACGAACGGCTGCTGGGCGGGCTGCATCAGAATGGCTCCGTCACGGATGCAACCTTCCTCGACATGCTAGACCTTCTCCTCGTCACGCACTTTCCAATACGGATCCAAGATAGATTCTCTTGCCGCGAAGTACGTAGAAACGAAAGGCCTCTCGAGCCAGGGATCTATGACGTTTACTGTAGAGGTGACCCTTGACTTCGGTAAACCTGATCTTGACGCTCACCGAGCACATCTACTTAGGCCCTATCAAACTTTCAGACGAGCCATGGCTGCCTCGCCTGGTCTCACCCCAGGACTCGCACCCAGAGACCACCTTCTCGGACAGCGTACGTGCACGCGACGGCAAGTGCGTCATCTCCGGCGTCGCCGACCGCAGCGGGGTCGAGGCCGCACACATCTTCCCGCGCGACAACGAGGACTACTGGCTCGCGCACGACCTCGCGCGATGCATCACGGACGCCGAGGGCCGCGCGGCCGCGGCGAAGCTGAGCTCGGCGCAGAACGGGCTCGCCCTTCTCGCGCACATACGCCAGCTCTGGGACCAGTACCTCATCTCTGTGAACCCCGACGTAGGTAGACCACACACATGCTTTCGTCGTGGGTCTCTTCCTTATTGCCAGCCAGGACAATCACAAGGTCGTCGTGTTCGCGCTCGACACCGACAGTCTCGACGGGCGGACGCTCGACCCTGCGTGCCGCGACCCGGCGGACCCGCACCGCGCCTCGGACGCGCTCCTGCGCTGGCACTACCGCCAAGCCGTCCTTGCGAACGTGCGTGGCACGGGTGAGCCCGTCTTCGGCGACGCTACGTCGGGGACGGACGTGCTCAGCGAGATAGAGCACGCGCCGTACGCCAAGGAGCGATTCCAGATGGAGATCGCGGCTCGGCTAAGGGGGTTTGGAAATGACGATTGAAACATCGGGCAAGGCGGTGCCTGCTCTTGCTCTGAATTGGCTGAAACGACTATGATACTTTTCGGGCCAGGTACGAGCAGAGATGGTGACAGTGGACGGTCTTACTTGGGACAATACTTATACACGATGCGTATCCGGCGCTCCTTCCGAAACACACGACGAACCGGGCAACAAAAGAGAGAAAGAAGCTTGTCAAAGGAGCGAAAGTCGCGAAAACGGGACTGTTAATCAAACAGGGGGTGAACAAGGCAGGTACAGGCTTACGGCTGGAAGACTCGCATAGAAGTGTTGTTTTTTCGTACATACGAATGGTTCGACCTACGAAGCTACATAAACGAGAGACAAGGGCTGGAGCAAAGGGAGTGAGATCCGGGGACGTTGCATGGGCGGTCGGAGCCGTGAAGGGGGTGCGTGAGGTAGATATCGTCAGAATTTTCCTGTGCCGTTCTTTGTTGGGCTTTGCGCTTCCTCGGAGAAGCGTTCGGGCGACTCGTCGCCGACGTCGGTGACGCAGTGCACGGTCTTCTCCACGGTGATTTGCATCTGTCAAAAACGCGTCGTCAGGTACTGCGCTCGACGAAAGAAGCGGGAAACGAAGACTGACGACGCTGCCAATAGGGTTCACGGGTGGTTGCTGCACCGGCGCCGTCAGCCCTCTGGCACACGCGGACGAGCAGCGATGCGCTTACCGTAGAGAACCGGCCTGTGCGTCCGAGGCCGTTCGGGAACACGAGCGGGAGCTGGTTCTGGTCGTTGCTCGACTTCTGCGTGCGCTGAGCCAGCGTCTTGCGCGCGTTCAGCCTGAAGGGGCGGCGATGTCAGCATCGCGTTGCGGAGCGAACGTGCTTTCATAATACTTACGTCGCTAGGAACGAGTTCGCGTAGACTGGTGGGTAAAAAGGAGCCGGGGTCAGTCTGGGCGCGAGGAATAATGTAGGCGGGTGACGTACGCTTGCTGATGGCGAAGTGAAGAGCGAGGAAGATGAGGTTATTCTTCATCGTCACCCACTGCAAAAGGGAGCGTCAGGGCGCCGCTGCTGGTTATCGCTGCCGGCAGACTTACGCAAACGAGAGAGAGGACGGCGACGATCCTGTGACAGCGATGATCAGTGACGGACACGGGTCTCGACATGAAGGCGGCACGGACGAGGTGATCAGGCCGTTCTCGACCGTGTACAACACGATCATGTCAATGATCTGGTCCATGCTGTACCGAATGTGTGAGAGGCAGTTCTGACAACGAGAGAATGGCAACCTACGACTGCCAGCCGGTCTTGCTCTTCTGCAGATGGAAGATGAGAGCCAGTGCAATAAGGAAGTCCAGGACTGCCGAAATGCTCAGACCGGTGGT